ATGGTAATCTACATAAAATATCCATGTAAACATATAAATATAATGATTGTTCAAATGAAAAAAAAAAAGAAATACTCCAAAACCAGCAGTTAGAATTGAATTAGTTTGAGCATTATGTTTGTCTGAGTAAGAAGCACATCAACACAATATCCATTAGATCTAAGTGCTGAGAAAAAGTAAGACAGACAGACAGAAACAGCTGAGAGAAAGTAAAGAAGTAGGATCTACCAGTGGCGCCCTCCATCCACCCACTTTGAGCATTATAATATTATCTTTGATCGATAAGTTCGAGTGGACGTAAAGAGAAGCAAACCAAAATAATGATCATTCAGTAGTTACTGCAAAGACAAACAGAAATCACTTTCAAATCACAGAGGGAGGGCAATAAATGAGTAAATAAGTATGACCCCTCAATACAGCAGCGCACTCAAACCACCAGCAAGCATTGTTTGGTAATATGCAATCCGCTTTATTTTTGCTTTTTGCGAGTTTAGCTCACATGCTCTTTACAGTTCACATAATGTGGGAGGCTGGCATTTATTGGCTTTGTCCCAGGTGTGGCAATGGATTTATAGATTTATAAATCTTCCGATGATCAAGAAGGTTCTCTATCCTAAGGTTCTTGTTACTCGTGCAGCCTTTGGTCTGAGATAATTTCTGCCAATTGTGAGGTGTTTATTATTTAGACATTTGGATTTAACTCGCATCCGGTTAGATAAGCAACTTTTTGTGCTACTGATGAGAAGAAAAGAATGCGGAGGCCCTCGGCTCTCACTCTTAAAAAAACCCATTTTGTTTTAAGAAGTGATTGACATAAACACGTCCCAGACAAACATTTTCTCTTAGACTTTTCAAAGCGAAACTTTAGCCTGGGGAAGATGCACAACCAAACAGAGACCTTAAATATAAGTCTGGTAAGGACAGTGTTAGCTCAAGATAAGACGATAATGAAGGATCAAACAAGGACGCAGCCCTAAACAACAAAGTATTCCAACAGGTAAAGAAACAGTTCATTATCTAAAGATCGCCAAAGCAAGAAAATTAAACTAGTGAAATTCTATTTGTTTTATTCTGTACATCATCTTCTTTTTTGTGTGTCCGCAAAAGGCAATATTAGAGAGTTAAGTCAAACTGAACAGGGTGCAGTTTTGCAAAGCTTTAAAAAAAGATGAGATGTGAATCGTACTTTAAACAACAACAACAGAACAACCATGGGTCATTACAAATGCATGCATTATGCCGTTTATGGGGTTTGTTTTCATACAAGGCAGGACCATCTGTCCACAAATCAGCAGCAAGTCAAGTGGACGGAGGATATAACACGGTCATGATATGGGCACCCTATCAGTCGGGGAGGTGCGCTCTATGTCGGTAGGACAGGAGCCAAGTGATATCCCTGATGATCGCTGTTTCAGCATTGTAAAACGTGTGATCTCAAGGTCATTTTTATGTAGGCGTTTCCTCCCCCCCCCCCCCCCCCCCCCACCTGGGGAATCCAACTCGGGTCTCCTGCGTGTGACAGTGATCAAGTGCCTAACTGCTTCGTAACGCACTCTGGTTCGCGATATTTACAGCTATCTTGAATACGTGGGGTAAAAATGTAGCAACCTCTAATGGCGACGAGTTGGTTTTTTTGTTTTTTTGTTCTTTTTTGGCCCAATAATTGCTTTATTATCAGTGGATCTATGAATGAAGTAGACCTTCAAGCATGAACATGGTAACAAACCACCATTAAAACTATAGTAACCACAAACAGTCTCAGTAACATTCAGCATCAGTGCTAACACAGCCTGGACAACAGGTGAAAAGAAGATGGGTCCCACGTGGGCAAGCTCTTATAAAGAGTGCCCCACTGATACCTGGACCCACGGAACCAACATTTTGGGCCCTTCTATTCTGATATAAAAATCAAGGTCGTTTTGTGACAACAATAGTAATAAAACAACACAAGAGAAAAGCCACGCAGAATAGTCCAAAATGTAGAGCCCCTTTTTAAAAAAAGGAACACTTGATACTGCTTCATAAAGTGAAACAGGTGACACTAGTCAACTTTTTCGGTCTTCAGTGCGTGGAAAAGATGTGTGACCTTATAGACATTAAGAAAATTTGTTTAAAATAAAAAAGATCTATTACATATTGGAGAGAGCAGGGAGGCTTCAGACACTTTGCATTTGGCGCAACCGGTCGATTTAGGAGTAATTTAAGTCAAAGAAAAAGGTTTCACCATTATTGTAAGCCATTTGGGCATCACCACTGTCGATATTCAGCTTCGTGCGTCATCACATTTTACTGCCTGTGTGTCATATATGAGGACCCCTTAGATGTCCGAAACCACCCGACTCTGCGAGAGACATTGGACAAGTGAGGGAAACTTCAGACGAAAGGGGAGGGGGGGGGGGGGACTTCGGACAGCGCGTTTCATGTATCAAATATTATTTTTGAGAGGCAAATCTTCAACACAGCATAAATCTATACTACCTTTCGTATGAGTTGTAAAGGTGTATTTTACACTCACTGGAAATTGTAGAAAACAGTTATCCAACTATATCTATAAACCAATCCAGTTTTATGTACATGAGTACGTACATGTTGACTTGAAATCTCCCCCTATTATTGTAAAACAGAACTCAATGGTGCCCCTAATAACGAGCTACTTTTGCAATGATAAAGAAAGATAAAAATGTTAATTTCCGAGTCTGTCAACATCTGAAGTTGGTGACAACACAACATTCACGAAGGTGCACCATTTGCTAAGTTATTATCGCTATTTCTTTTTTAGCGATGAATTCTGGTTCGAATCCAGGTACGTGTGTTCTTGAACATGGGCTGTTTAAAGCTTTAAAGGGTTTTCATGGTTCCCCGTCACGACCTGACAGAGTGTGACGTGAAATCGGAGATCCACCATTTCATGACAGTTATACCGTTCTTGCGGTTGGGGGGGTATACGATAATCCAAACTGCAACAGCTAAAGGAAACAAAGTCTTCAAATGAAAAAGACTATCTCAGAATTTTCTTTTCAAAAAGAGCTTCAAGTGCTGCACTTTGTTTGACTTTTTGAAGATGAAATTCAAAACGCATTGGAAACTTCAAAGAGAACAGAAACGTGAACGGATGACAGAGGTTTCCTTTTTAACGGTTCATTTATTGGAACTGTTTGACCTTTTTGTTGAACTTCAGATCGGAGGAGGAAGAGCTGCTCTCTTCAATGGCCAAATCTTTCACAGGTATATATGAAAGCATTTATTTCTCATTAGATCTAGATATATTCTTAGATAAGACACTCGAGGTAACCCTCTTACCTGTTTCTCTGACATTTTTTCCCAATGAAGTGGACACCCTTCCCAATAATCTTAAGTTCGATTACTATAAAGCTATCTTCTTTGGGTTCCTCGAGAAGGGCGCCAATTTCAAAACAGAACCTAGAAAGCCAGTCGTTTCGGGAAGATTTTGTTCTTATGCCATGTTTCTGGCGCAATCATATTGTTCGTCATTACATCATACTGTGACAAACTCGGATTAGAAGAAAATTCTTGAACATTTCATGAAATACTCAAAGAGTTTCTTCCCCAGAGGATCGTCACAAGTTTGTGCAATCGTAAAAGAGTGTCTTTAGAACGCATCAATGTCTTCACTATCTTATAAATAGTCTTTCACGGCAGATTTCTTTACATTGTGCATAGCTTCAGAGCGACGCAAAGACAACGAGTCATTAACAAGAGTTTCAACTTTTTTTCTGAATTAAAAGGCTCTCTTCTTTTGGGGGCTCTATGTTTCCTTGACATGGTAATATCCTGGGAAATGCAACAACAGTACAAGATTACGCTTTTAAAATTCAATTTTCATAGAAACTCTGATTCCAACGACTTACATAAGTCGCCTGGAGACCTCGGACAGTGTACGAAGTCACCCCACCCACCCCCTGTACGAAATCTCCCTACATGGGGGTTGTGTTGGAAACATGTTCATGAAACAAACATCATAACATCATGAAATCTAGGTTTCGTTTTATGAAATTGGTACATGACAGACACCTTTAGGCATATGAGTGTATATACATACATATATCAGGTATACATATTCAGAAGGCCATAACTCGAAAATGTAAAGCAGGAATAACCTGTAAATATTCTGCAAAATTGGATAGAGAGAGAGAGAGAGGGGGG